TCGAGGCACACGTGTATAAAGCAACCACGGTATAGGGGCAAGGTCGAGCTATACCGATTATAAAGCGACCACGGTATAGGGGCAAGGTCGAGCTATACCGCTTATAAGCGACCAAATCTAGCTGATATGCGTGACGACGCATTGTTTGTTTATTGCGGTTATTGTTGAATGATGTGAGCTGTATATGTGGTGTTGTATGTTGATTTTGTTGAACTAGATTGATGTGCTGATAGTTGTAGTTGTTTACCATTCATGTATTCTTATATATGTATGTTGATTCTTTTCTCTAGCTTACCCTTTGTTGTTTTCATGAGGTTTGGACTGCAGTGCTCGTACTATGGATGGGAGCAGAGCATGGTTAGGTTGGTGAGTTGAGACAGGTCTGCAGCTGGCAGATGGAACTTATTCTTCTTGATGATTTTGCTGTTTTAGCTTTTAGTATAGCATTGCTGGGTGTATTTTGTATACTCTGATTCTTAGCCTTACATTGGACCTTGTATATATATTTTAGTTGTTTATATATATATATATACATGCTCTTTTCTGTATAGTGTTATTTTGTTGTGCTGTGTGTAGCGACCAGTCGGGTTGTTACATTATACAAAGAAACTTAATGTTTAATTTTGTAAAACGATTATCCAACTCTTGAATTTATCAATTAATCACTTAATCATAAAATAATTCAACTTAAAAAGGATGTAGATTATAAACTTATTTCATTTTGCCTTTTGACCGGTCGTATTCTTTATATTTGAAAAGGATCATTCTTATTTAGAAACTTTAATATGCATACAAAGTTCTTGGACATGTTACCCACATTTTAATTAACTATAAAGTATTTATGAATTAAAATTATTGATTTAGATACAAGTGAAAATCGAATCAAATATTGTATAAAGATATTTTATGAAATATTACAACAAATGTTCGAAATAACAAAATTATAAACTTTCAAGTTTGATGCAATGGTGGTGCAAATGCAACGGTTCTTGAACTTTACCACATTAATTTAGTCACAATTTAATTACTCATGTTTCATGGAATCACACAAGAAATTGAAACATGGAACTTGGGTGCAATATAAGTAACAAGATAAACCTGTATCACGTAACAATAAATTTTTATTATGACTACAAAAATTATATGGCTTAATCGTATAGTTTGTCACTAATGTTTTAAAATTTTACAAATTTTATTATCTAATTATTTTATTTACACATTATCACAAATTTTTAAAATTATGTTCACTTTGTCATTCTATTAATTAACTATTTTGACACTTTAATTGATCACAGTAACGTGGTGTGAATTGATAATTTAAATATGGATGAATGACAAAGAAATTAAATTGCACATTTTCTTTTGTATAATTTTAAATTTTCACATATTTTTCTCTCAACCTTTTTTTTCTCGCATATTTTACTCGGGTTTCAATTTTTCATTCATTTTACCGCCCCCTATATTATAATTAAGCTTTTTTCAATCAAAATCAAGAAACTTAAGAAAATATATATATCTAACCATACAATTTAATTTTACACAACAAAACAAAGAACATTTACGACTATCAACCCTTTGATTTTTAAATAAAATCATGAAATGTGTAAATTTAAAAAATAAAAAAAAAACAAATAAGATAGTATTTATAAAACACGACTTCTGTTTAGTATTTTCGTTAACACGACTTTTATTTTCTTCTTTAATGAAAGTAGTGTTTCTCATTAACACGAATTGTTTTTGTAAACAATTTTTTTATATTTTAAAAATGGAGAAGCCATGTATGTTCGATACGACTTGCCTCCATTCGTTTTTTTAACATTAAAATATATTTTTAACTAATTTATAATTTTGATCTCTTTATTTTCATGAATTTGTAATTTTTATTTTTCTATTTTAAAATAAAAATATTTAGTCTTACTATTTTTAAAAATACAAAATTTTAATGTTATCATTAATTTAATATTCATTGATCGATAAATTATGACTTTTTTTATGACCTATCATCAATTAAGTGATATGATATGTAAAAATAAAAATTAACAAATAATATATAATATATAGATTTTTATTTGTATATATTGTAACGAGTGATTGGTATTTATTTTTACTAAATGTTGTATCACTTAAATATAAATAAACGTTAAAATTTAATAATTAATAAATATTAATTTGACAAAAGTACAAAAGTTTTATAATTTTAAAATTAGATAAATTAAATGTCTCTGCTTTAAAATAAACGAACCAAAATTATAGATTGACAAAAATAAAGAGACTAATAATACAATTTAACCTATAATTTTTAATACAATTTTTTTTTATAAAAAAAATATCATGTTTTAATCGTGACTTCAATTATTTTTTTTAAAACGAAAGAATTCCATTCACAATTTTATATCCGCTAAACGGATATCACAGTTTTTTAAGAAGATAATTGTAAAAATAAAAAATAAATGACTTTAAAATATTTTAGCAATAATAATAAATTATTTGTCTTTTAACATGTATTATATGTGTTTTTATTTGATTTAAAACAAATTTATTAAAATCTCAAATATTACTCAAGCAATGATATTAATATATATGTTTTTATACAATATTCTTTGATTTACTGTATAAAATTAAATTTTTTATATATAATTATAATGTAGGTGCAAAATATGTGAAATTTTAGTTGATTAATTTTTTTTAAAATTTATTAAAATTTTACATATTTTACACCTACATTGTAATTAAGCATTTTTTTATTCGATATCATGATACATCAATAAATTTATATATACATTTATAACATTTAATTATATACAATAAATGATGATAAAGTGTATAAAATTTTTAAATTTAGGATAAAAAAAATGTGCAAATTAATATGACTGTCAATGTATTATATTAATGATCAACTAACATCATGTCAACTAATAGTGACAAAATGGTCAACTAGGTAACAAAATGAGTAAAATTTAAAAAGTTAAGTGACAAATATGCAAATTAAATAATAGTAAAAAAATTTGAAGAAAAAAACGTATGAGTAACAAAATGTGCAATCCGAGTCACAACTACATACATACTACACATAATTTATAATTTATTATTATAATTATATATAAGTATATTTATATACTAGGATGTTTGTTTCGAGTTATTAACTTTCATACCGGGAATGTTATTTCTAAAAGTATGACATTCTTAAGTATATTAAAAAATATGTTTAGCTAGTGATAGAAATATTTTTATGAAAGTCGATATAAAGGTGATTTAAGGTCAGCGGTAGGGGTAGGGGTTGATTCACGCTTAAGCAAGGTCAGGGGTTCGAATCGTGCCTTGTGTATGCAGCCGCGTTAAATCTTGGGGCCAGCTATCCCACCCTTTGAGGTGCCTCCAACGTAGCGAGGAGATTAGTTATTGCTGTCGGCGGTGGATACTCCAGGGACGAACTCAAAAAAAAAATCTTTAATTGACATATCATGAGAATCAACTTACCTACCTTCTTTTTTGGGAATAAAAATATGAGAATATGAAAGTAATATCATTCCTAGAAATGTTTTATACTCTAGAATAAAATTTATAACCTTGTAATAAAATAGAAAAACACATTCCCTACCCATGTATTTTTTAGAACATCATAAAATAGCTTGAAACAAACACTTCCTTGAAATTTAATGAAAAACTATCAAAATTCAAAAATGACTAAACTTAACAAAAGCCAGGTTAGGCCTAAAAAAAATCAAAGAATAGAGACGATTTGCTCGACTTAATGGGCTAAGCAAAAATACGTTAGATAAGTTATTTAATTACCCAAAACCTTATCAGACCTATTTAACCTAGTACTTTTTTATCTATACAATTTAAACCTAAATAAGAAAAATAGAATAAACCAATGGACTGGTACGAGGAAAAACAAATTGGTGGCCATTTAGAATTCAAGCTAATTCATGTCAACTTTTTATGTGTTGGCCCGTCATGCTGAGCCCATTTAACACCTTTAGTTGTTGGGGTAAAAAATTTACATTATTAACGAATTAAAAGTATTATTAATATAATTTTAAGTTAATTATCATAAAAGCCAACAAACTTATAACATATAATTTGTGCCAGTGTAAAATTACTTTACACTCTAATAGCATAGCCTATTTCTCCATGTATTTATATATAAGCATGGATGACACGTGTATATATGTACACGTATGTAAATGGTTACCAATATGTATACATGTATGTATGAGTACAAATATGAGGCGAAATAAGTACAAAAATACTAGTACTCTTATATCAATCAAACTGAGTAATTAAGGAAAAAATAAATAGGCCATTTGACAGCCATGGTTCAAGGAAAAAAAAAAAAACTACAATAACATCTGAAAGATCATTTGACTAACTACTTCATTACCACATGCATGCAACCAAAGCAGGCCTCGGGGTCCTGATCACTAAACAGCGAAAAGTCCCACCAAGGACTCTGCATTTTTCAGTAGTGATCATATCCACTATGATAAAGATATCATAGGGGGGAAAACACCATAATCTCTGGGACAGTATTTGACAAAGACTATGATTGAATAAACTTTCTTCGTAAACACCTCTACGAGAGTAAAATAGAAACGAAAAATAAAATAAATATTTTTACAAGTTAAAATTAATTTATATATAATCTATGTGTAGAAACTTTTCTCCTATTAACTATTCGAAATCTTATTTTTCCCTTGTGCATAAAGCAATTTTAACTTACGAAAAAACTAATTTTTATTTTCATCCTTATTTTTCTTTTATTTTTCTCTCCTATAAGTGCCCCTGGAAAATCTAATCTAAACATATCCAAAGTTCTAAACATATGCTGAAAATTCAAATTACCTTGCCACATCAGCTCAACCACCGCTAACAATAGTGGGTCAAAAGGAAAACAAGACGCTCCATGTTCCTAAGTCCTAACACTATGAAACATGATACTAGAATATAAAGTAATTCACCCTGTACAGAAAGTAAATCATCATTGGAAGAATAAAGCATGAGTTCAAAATAAAATTATTTGGGACGCCTTTTCGTTATATCCCTAATCACCTGTTCAATTCACCGATTTGCATGACCGCATAATAACCATTCCAACCTATGAGATCAAACAATCATAATGACCCGGATCTCCTAGACCTAGAAATCAGAGGCAATGAGCACTCTAAATTTGCCTTTTGTACAGTCTAAAAAAAACTATAACAAGGAACGTCACCATATCAATCTATAGATGAGATGAACTGCTATTATACTCTGCCAATTAAATTATAAAATGCTCTGGCATAGCAACAAAACCAGCCATGCAAGATCACTGGCATACTATTTGCAGATGTGCAGCTCTTTCCTCATTTCTGTAGTTCGATTTTGAATTTACCTTCTTGCGTTTGCTATCCTCCTATCCCTCCGTCGTCTTCTAGACCTTCCTAACAATAACCTCTGGAGTCCACGCCCAGAGACAGCAGCAGAACCTGTAGATGCAACACTCTGCAAACCAATACGATCAACATCGAAAGAATCAGCAGCACGGTCCTGATTATACATAATGTTTGGCAAAAAGCGGCCAGTTCTCCCCAAACCAATGGACCTGACTGAGAAGAAATCATCCTCTATATATTCCTCATGAGAATCATAATCATCATCGTCACTATAAAAGGCATGGTCATTTGGCTCCAGCACATAATCCCCCAGTACCACAGCCCCTGGTGATGAAGATAAAATTGTGCTAATCACATCATTCCGTTCTCTTTCACATTCAAATCTCTTCCATTTTTCTTCTCTTATTGGGTCCACTTCTCGTGGCCGTGCAAATGGATGCTTACACCTAACATGTTTCCTAAGCTCCTTGTAATTCCCTACAAAGGAGCAATCATCTTGCATGCAACTTCTTTTCTTGGCATTCAGAGACTTTCGTGCTGCTTCAACCACTGTCCAACCTTTCACCTGCCGGCGACAAAGGGGGCAAAGAAGCTGAGGAACTTCAGCATTGTCTTTAGATTCACCTGTGCTTAAATCAAAATTTGAATTGTTTGCTTCTAGCGGCAAATTTTGAACAGATGTTTCTTTAGTATACGCCTTTTTGTATTGTTCAAAACAGTTTGAATAGCGATTACTAGTAGCACACATGTAAGGGCGACAACCCTTGTCATAAGATGAACATAGGAGAAGGATAGCATTATGGGGGACCTCCATACAGACTGAGCAGGTTGAATCATCCCAATCTTGCTTTTCTGATGCTTTAGAAGAGCTCTTCTTTACATCAACAACTTTCAGATTTTTTCTTGCACAAGACAAAAGACAAGGGGTTGCCCTCTGACCTCGAGATTGAGACTTGCACCGCAGCTTTCCAACTTTAGCCATTTACAAACTGAACCTAAAACTGATCAAGTAGAGACAATTATCCATAGTGGGTCCTTTAAAGGATAGAAATTCTAGCACAATAAATTAACATGAAGGTCATTTCAAACATAACAAATCAAATGTCTAAAGTAGAGTTTGACTTGATATCATTTATATGATTTTGCAGAAATTTTTAACAAAACCAATAAAGGTCTTGGCAACAAAGGCATGTATATAGATCACAGTGATCCAATCATTCTCCAAAGCTTTTGCAGTTACATCTATGGCACAAATGGTAGCATTAAGTCAATATTAAATGAAGCATATGTTTAAATAACAAGTAGAGACACAATATTGGACCAATTTGTTTAAAATAAAATAAAATAAAATAAAGTGTTTTTTTTCAAAAGTGTTTTTTTAAGAATTAAGATGCAAAGAGGAGTTGCTTCTTGAAAAAAAAAAAAAAAGCAGAAAACTTTTTTTTCTTCTAAAAAACCAGTTTAAACAGACATGACAAAAAAGTTAAAAAAAAAAAAACTTGAACAAACAGGTCCGTTATGTCACCCCTGCTAACATAAATTAGCACTAATCATGTGATTCATAGATAAACTAATAGAGGGCATAAAATCCCAAGAAAATTCTATCATAGGCTCCTCACCATACCGCACCATACATTTTTTTAATATACCTCACAATATTTAAACACAACATAATATACAAGTCTAATACAAAACAGCAAACAGAACTTTATCTTGCAGAAAATTGGAAAAAAAACACAACATAATATATATTTTGCTTGTTGGCTGGGAAGCGAAGAAAGAACGAAAGCACGCCAGTGGGTGTCTTTCGCATGTTACCATTCCAGAGGTGAAAGTACACTTTCTTTATTCTTTATTAAATTTCTGGCATAAGAGGGCTTTTCTCTTAGCTCTTTTAGCGGAATAAGAGCTGTTGGGTTGGTAAGATTATAATATAGGTCAGAAAGAATCAAATGTCCCTAGTATCAGGAAAGAGGGTGCACATTCATAGGCCAATCTGTTTTCTTGCCCGTTCCCAGGAAAGGTATGAAAGACGCCTATACTTCAGGCAAGGAGCGCATACACACACACACAATGCAATGTGAAATTCAGGAGCCATAAAATAAATATTAAAGAGGAAAAATCGCCTAATAAGTACCATCATGCAAAGATTGAGTAACAAGTACGATCACTATAAAAGACAACAAATAAAAAGCAGACAAAAGGTTTGTAAAACCAATCCATCTATATCAGTCCTATTACATATTAGCTGAATATCCCATGGAAATGAAATCCGAAACGAAACACACAATACAAAGCTAGATCAATAAACCACTCAATCATTTCCCATCTTGAAATATGTACCCAAGCTTCCAGACATCAGTCTTGATCTAATATATTCAATTCCATCTAGGATAGACCACTGTGACTTTGATGTCCCATTGAATTTCACTCAGTTCTGTCTTTACATGTTTCTGTTCTTTATATGTCTTGATTTTATGCATTCAAGTTGCCTTCTTATTATTGCAGTACATCAAATGAATAAAAAATTCAAATACATAAAACAAGCACCATATTGTAGAGCACTGTAATGAAAAACTTAGAAATGCATAAAGAGAAAACTGTAATTATTGGTGGATCCATCATCCTTCAGAAGAGGAAAGATAGAAAACATACTCTCTTTTTTTCATCTCTTCAAAACTCATCTGCATGTTTCTCAGCCTAATAAAAACAATATGAATAACCTTTGCAGAAAGTTCTTGCAGCATGTAAGGTAAATCACCACATATAAATCGATTGCATACTTTAGATACACTTCTGACTTTTCAATATAATGATTTTAAATATTCTTTATTTGCAACACTTGATATATCTAGTGCTCATTCCCATAAGATTAGGGTTTCCTTACAATCCACACAACAATTTTAACGGTGACACACTACTCAAGATGTCCTTTACAGCATTAGACTATGCACGACTAGACAATCATTATTAACTATATGATAACTAATTAATCGAAACAGTCCACAAAAGCAATGTGAATTGAAATGATATCAATGAAACATAAATAATAAGTTATCAATTGCTTAAAAAAAATAATCTATCATGACAAAATAGTTAATCATTCTTAATCAGACAATCGTGACTAATGCTAGAAAAAAAAAAATTAATCTCCATCCAATAATATCAATTGCAGATCTTGGAAATAAGAGGAGAGCCAATAATCTATCTGACATATACAGTGGATAGCATTATGGGGTTAAGTCAAATAGCAGTTGAAATATATTATTATCAATTATATTATATGTATAAAAAATTAAGTTGTATGCTAATAAAAATAAGATGCATAAAAATTGGCATAGTATTAACTCAGTTACGGAGACTCATTGGAGATGACAAAACAACACAGGGACGCATGTTGCAACCACAACACCCATAGTGGCCTCGATAGTGGACAAAGTCACAATTGCAGATCTGAGAAATTCCGTAATGCAACAGAACTACAGCACCACAATAACTCCTATTTAACAATGTCTACATCAAAACTAACATTCACGAGTATTTTCTAAGCATGATGAAGTCTTAGAAGAATAAAAGAACATCATGAATTGCAAAGGCTCCTTCATTACAAAAACCAGGACAAATGGATTATAATACTGATATATGAATCCAAAAAATTTACCTTCTGAAAGGGGTAGAGTCTAAGTAGTCAATCTAGATAGCGGCACAGAGAGGCCACTATTGCAAAGTCTGGAAAACACTGAAAAATAGAAAAATACACAACTAAAGTGTAGAGACATGGTCATGGCTGAGACGGTGCCATGGTGAATAGAAACAAGTGGTCTGAGAAATAGGAGAAAAACTGACCAGAAGAACTGAGAAAAAATAGAAGAAAGGTTAACAACTGAGAGGGAAGTGAGAGCTTAAAAACTAGGTCAAGTCAGTTCATGTAAGTGGGGCAATTTGGAAAACATCCACGTTTAATTAAAAACAGGGCCAACAGTATTAATAGGGGCAGTTTGGTAATATGCTTATAGTGGAACACAAAAAATAAAATTTAATAGGGGACTGAAACCAAAAAGTTTTAACAAATTAACCCCTCCCCCCCTCCCCAAACAAATAAAAAATACCAAAACAGTACAAAACAGGGATAATTTCAGTTTTAACCCCAACAATGGAAATTGCAGCTGCTTAATGTGCAGGCACCATTATTCCTTTGCAAAACATGGTTGCACCCTTCATGACCCTAAACCCACATCGCACTCAGGTTTTGCAAAGCACCCAACCAATGCGCAAATCACCGCTAAAGCGGCAAAATTGACTACCTAGGATAGAATGCAAATAGTCTGGCACAACCTGCTTTATAATCTCTTGGCCCAAGTCTATCCTATAAATTTGTTACAAGTTAAAAGACTGCATGCTATCGGGCCTATCACACTAGAAACTGTTAAAACAACAAAACATATTGCATTTAGTAACCATTAAAACCAACTAAAGTAAGAAACATTAAGCTTTAGGCTTTAAAATAATGATATAATGTTAATGTTATTTATTAAATATTAATATTTCTATTAAAAGTAATATTATTTATTAACAGATCAGCTGTCAATCCTGGTAGACCTTTCTAAAAGCCTGCAATATGATCTACTTAACTAAACAGGCTATTTAAATATCGTGATCTTGACCTTTTTGCTAAACAAGACTCTTAGAATTTGGCCCCAGGGCCTACCTTGACCCCATAAAATTAGATTGTAAGGTAAGGATTGTCCAAGCTTTATTTATATCATATTTCTAGTCAATGTAGGACTAAACACCACCCTTGAGGTTGCAACTAAGGAAAACCCCAAAGAGGCCTCAATTAAGACAACATTCAAAACAGAAAGTCACACCTAGGTGTATTGGCTCGACACATGGCAAATGCAAATGGCCCAAATAACAGTTATAGAATAGATTCTAATACCATCTTAGGATTTGGGCTTAAAACCTAACTTAACATCACAAAACTAGCTTGTAAGGTGGGGATTATCCAAGCTTTATAAGTCATTTCTCCAGTCGATGTAGGAATAAACATCACCTTGAGGTACAACTATGGCAGACCCCACAAAGACTGCAACTAAGACAACTGCCAAAGACACCATAACTAAAGGGGGCTAAGGGTGACCATGATTAAGATGACTTTTCAACACTCTCCCTTACTCCCAGTATTACCAACTTGGAGTGTGGCAATACAGGTGCCCCAACAATGGATCTAAGATAAACACCAATACCATCTTACAATTAAGGTTTACCTAACTTAACTCCACAAAACCAGTTCGTAAGTGAGCATTTCCCAAACTTTATAAGTTTTATTTAAGTCATATCATCAATCGATGTGAGACTAAGTACCACCCTTTATGTTGCAAGCAAACTAGCCCCAAAAGAGGTCGCAATTAAGGTGGGCTAGGGGTGACTGCAATCAAGGCAGGCTAAGAGTGACTACAATTAAGACAAGTTAGGGGTGGCAGAAATTAAGACAGGCTAGGAATGGCTGCAATTAAGACGACTTTCTAAAAAAGACATGTCAAGCGACAAGGGTATAACAAGGGTAAAACAATTATCATAAGAATCTAACATGCAGTCTTGAAGCAACTACAACATATAAAATATCAGAAAAACACAACTTTGATGACAAAACATTTTTATTTCAGACACGTCACCAGTAAAATATAAAAATATAGCCAAGTGAATTCGGTATCATCCAGTAATGCCATAAGTTGTGTCCTGCCATACCTGATTCCTATATAGTAAATAGCATCTTAAAAAGAAGGGCTGAAATAAGGTGGTTTGCTTTGCACGAAACAAAACACCTCTTGATTTGGACTTTGAAGTCTCTCTCAATGGAGAGAATCATTAAAAAAAAATCACATTTAAGTAAACAGATAATAAGCAAATTGGTAGCTACTGCACACATTCTCAATGTAGTGCTCGATAGCAAACAGTCCACAAAAAATAAGCCACGTGTTATCCATTCAATCTCAACGTACACATTTGGATTTCAAAGTACAGCATCGCAAAAGTAAATAAAAAAAAAATTTAAAAAGGAGAACCCGAATCACTCAACGTCAACAATTCAACATAAAATTTTCAATTGTTTTCACCACTTTCTCACAAAATGGTAGTATCTGGAATCCTCAGTTTAGGAGGTCAACTGATGAAAGACAATATCACATCTAACAGATGCACAGGCATTAAGTAATCTTCCATTTCCACAGTTAAAGGGGAAACGAGAATATCCACTTGTTGTCTAAGGCAACATGATACCAAACTTCAGTATCTAAGAAAGAGTAAACTCATAATATCCATCAATAACACATTTGCCTCTAAGAACAAACAAATCACAGCACACATACATGCCATAACAACAGCCAAGTGAGGTGAGGACATGATCCAAATCCAACCAATTGGAACTGTTGATATTTTATTTGAATTACTTAGCAGCACAGAGTGAAGTTTCAAAAATACATCTACGCACGGAATTCTCGATTATAAGACGGAAGCAGCCACTTCTGCCACAGTAGGGAAATGCGGAGCGAGAATGAGAGACGAAGTTACTAAAAATGGTTCAATACCATGACACGCTGGCGGAATTCAAGATCGTAAAACGATTCGAGTCCAAGGAGAATGCGGAAGCGGAATGAAGCGATCATAATCCATAAATCGAGACATGACATTAAACGAAACTTCGTAAAACCACATGCAGATGCAAAAACATTGTCAAGATTGCGTAGAAACGATACAGAGAAATAAGCAAAACGTGAAAGGAGAGGCATCAGAGAGTGAAAAACCCTCGGAAGAGGGAAGGATTGAAGAAGGAGGAATACCTGGAACTGGAATTCTTGAAGAAGCGGTTGAGAGGAGTCGTTTGGTTGAAACGGAGAAAATGAAGGGAATCGGAGCGTGCGTCCGATCTTCGCGCTCACGTTCTCCAAAATCCGTAAAAAAAAAATTAAAAAAGGCTGGCAGAGGTGACGTGTTCCGGTACTGCAACACCTAACCTACACAATGCTGCTTTCTTCTCGCTTCTTCATTTTTTATAACGCCATCAAAATTAACACACAGGTGTTGTGTTATGTGGGCTCACGAGCCTAGTTATCACGATGGTAACTTGCCATACGGGGCCCATTTACCTTTCCTCAAAAGCCCATTCACTCTTTCCTTTGAGTTTTATTGTAATACCTAGAGTAAAAAAAATTATACTATATCGATCAGAAACCATCCTTAAAAGTATTTTTTAAATAGTTGCTATAATAATCGATAAAATTAACATATAGTCAATTAAATTAAATATACTATAAGCAATAGTTTCCTTTTATTAAATAACTAGTACTTTAATTTGTGTAATATGTAAATTAAATATTTATTATATATAATTAAATAATAAATTATATTTTAGATTTATATATAACTAAATAATAAATTATATATAAATATTTGAATATATAAATTATATTTCAGATTTATAATAAAAAATTACATTATAACATAATATTATTTTTTATTCATCGATAATTTATTTTAAACTATAAATTTAATTTATAAATAATTATGGTAAATAAAAATTGAATTAGATAAGAAGTTTAAAAAATTTTCTTAAAAGTTTTCTTGCTGAAGAAAAGTCCCTAAAAAAATTCATGTTTAATATATAAGGATTGATAAAAAAAAAAAAAAAAAAAAGATATTAAAAAAAATCAAATGCTTTCATCACTTTTTTATGAATTTTAATTGATAGAGGATTTCAATTGAGTAATATAGTTTAATGATAATGTGTTTGGATGTAAAATTTTAATAAAGTAATTTAATTTTTTAAAGAATTTTAAATGCTTTGATGTAAAATGATTTTTTTGGATGAAAAATTTATAAAAAATTTGAAAGTTAAGCATTTGTAAAATTCCTTAATGATATAAAATTTTAAATTCTCTCAAAAAGATAAGAATTTAAAATTTTTCTTTCTCTTTTTCATCCCACCTTCCTCTCATCTCTTTCAAAGTTGACATAAAAATATGAATAATTTTTTTTAATTATTGAATATTCAAAATCATTTTAAAATTATTAAATATTATCTAATAAAATTATTAGTTTTATAAAATTAATATTTATAAAATTTGACTAATATTTAATTTTATAGAATTTAATCTTGAAAATTTAGTTTTATCTACGTTGAAAAATAAATTGTTCTATCTAAACTAAAATTTAAAAATTTAAAAAAATTTAAATTGACTTATTCAAACAAAAAATTTTAAAAACTGGTAGGGATTAAAAATAAAGTAATTCAAGTTCTACGAGTTTTAAATTTTTTAAATTTCTAAAATTCTTCATCTAAATACATTTATGTATTTAAGCATTTTTTTTCCTTTTTTATATTTTTTTTTTCTTTTCAAACTAGTGATGTTTTTTTTCACATAACAAAAAAAAATCACATAACAACATAACTAGTGGTTTTTATTATTATTATGTGCGGTTAACTTAAAAATAGTGGGATAGTTAAAAAAAATTTAGTTAAAGAGAAAAAAGGTAGTTCAACAAATTGGTTAAGGAGTAAAAGGATTCAAAAAAAAATGTGAACATTAAAATAAGGTATTTTCTTTATTAATATTATTAATATATAATTATTATAGATTATTTTTATTATTATTACTATTATATTTGTTTCATGTTATTTTTCTTTTTTATATTTTAAAATATTTTTTACACCAAAAATAATATATACTTTTAAATATTAATTATACAAATCACAATGATAAAGTAACTATATTTAACAAAAATGACATCATTATTAACTTATTTTTAACATGATGAGATCACATATACAGTCATAATATATACTTTTAAATATTATTAATGATACAAATCATAATGATAAAAATAATTATATTTAACAAAAATGAAATTATTGTTAACTTATTTTCGATAACAAGAGGTTACATATAAATATATTGTGAGTGATATTAAAGATATTAAAAATATTTAAAAGATATATTATGACCGACATTAAAGGCATATAATTAGTGGGGAACATGTGATAAACATTGATAATGGAGTACTTTCACTCATTACATATAATTTAGTTAATTAATCAATTTAATCGTTGTATTTCTCTTAGGAAGAGTCAAGTTCGCTAATAAAGGTCAAATATGTATATTTTTTTCTAATAATATTAGGTAATTAATCTTATGCTTTTGAATCGTATTTTACTAAAAGCAAGCAATAAAAAATAGATTAGTTCATTTATAGACGTTTTTGTAGTTATTAGATTTTTTTTTCTTGTGTTTTAGATACATAAAAAGAAGAAAAAAAAACAAGAAGGAAGAAGAAGCTAGTCAAATAAAGGTTTGAAAAAAAAAATATTAAAATTCTTGATATATTTTATTATAACTGAGAAGTATGTGTAAAAAAAGTTAATGAAATTAATTTCTAATATCTTTTTATTATAAATTTTCAACTAACTTTTTAATATGCTTTTTGATATTGATATTGTAAAAATATGTTGTTTACTTTTATACGTTCTTTAAATAAATATTTTATAAATTTTCTTAATTTTAACTAAATTAATTAATTAAATTTTTATGGATTCGATAATTAAATTTCTCTTCATTTTATTAAAAATAATAATTAAGTTTATAAAAGTCTAATCACTTAAATCACTAGGCTAACTCTAGTGATTGATAGGGGAAGGGTCGGAATAGTTAGAAATATGAGAACTTAGGTTCAATTCTCGTTACGACATCTTTATAATGTTTCTTATCTTAAAAAAAAAAAAAAAAGTCTAATCACCTTCTCAATTAAGATTGTTCTGTTCATCTATACCGATTTAGGGTATATTTGATTTGTAAAAAAACAAGAACAATACATCACAATAATATAGTTTGGAGTTAGATTTAAAAAATACTGTAGGACATAATAAAAGAAGTGCCACAGAACAAAACAAAAACATAAAAACTTGCTACTCACAAAATTGAGGGACAACTTTTTGTGTCGCATAATAAAATTAAAATGACACAAATATCCATCTCATTTTTTCACCCACTCTCCTCAACATCTTTGTCACGTTTTTCACTTTCTCCCCTCAATAAACTAACCTGCTTACATGGACAGACTCGATAGCAAAAAGCTTTGGCACACCAATGTCAAATAAATTCAAATTCATTGTCATAAGGTGTCACTTATGTTGTAACATAATGCTAGTTACCGAGTTGTTCTATATACAAGATTTGTTCAAGCATAAACTGAAAGTTATTATTCATACATAATTATATTTATAAAATAAAAAAAGATGCAAACACAATCATGATCGTCAGGTATGTTAGTCATAGTCATAAATTGGAAGTTCCGTCAATGGAAATGGTGTGTAGTGCAATTCCATAAACAGTTACACTCCTACACAATGTACTAGAAAAATGAAAATGGTTTTTTTGGGAAATTTCATATTGTTATATTTGTGTTGTGTGTTGACGAAATATTGTCTAATAACTCAAGTAGGTATCTAGTATTGTTCTCCTTGTTTTGTACAGTGTGTATCAAATGGACTTAGTTCATCACCTGGACATCTCTCACCCTAGACATTCTCCCTGCCCTCCAAGCTAATGCTATGGGCATTTAATTTTCTCGTGTTTAGTTTCCTTTTTTTTTCTCTTTTTTTTTTTCTTTACTCATAGTGACAAGATGAATGGTGACAAAACCCTGTTAGGCGATAAATGAAATTTTATCAAAAATACCAAATTAAACTTGAGCAAAGTGGGACAAATAAGGAATTTCAGTTGAACGAATTATGATTCTTATAGAGATAGATGTTCAGTGATACTGTGTTTACAGTTTTTCTTTAGTCAAAGTATATCCATAAATTTATGAGCAATTTTACGGTATCCTTGGAGTACCGGAACAATTATTTTGTTTTTATTTTTTATTTTTATAATTACTTGTTTTATTTTTATTTTAGTTTAATATTTTTAATAATTTATCTGTATTTTTATATTATTTTTATATTTTTTAATTTATATCTTAATATAGCATTTATTATAATTAAAAAGTTTAATATTAATATTTTGTTAATATGTTTTAATTTTTCTTTGATGATAACTTTTTTTAAATTTATAATATAAATTAGTTTTTCAGTTATATTATTTATTTTTTATTTTAATGTTTTAATAATATTATTATAATTTTTTGTTTTTAATTTTTAATTTAGTCAGATATAAATAAAATTTGTTATGAAAATTAATTTTTTGATTATTTTATTTTAAATTAGTCTTTTTGATTGATTTATTTTATATAAATTTTTAATCTAAAATTTATGTTGTTTTAAATTTATTTTTTAAAATGTATTTGTTCATATAATGTAATGTACCAAAACCCTTCAGTTTTGATGGGTACCATAACAGTTCTCTAAATTTATACTATAGTTTAAAAGATTGGTGAAGTACATGACTACGACCGAGTATTAATTGAATCTAAACCATCTGCTCATACAATCGCATTCAACCAAAGACCAAATTTTCAGAGAGGCCATACATAAAGTGCGAAACATTAAAAAAGATTAGACTAAATTATATTTTTTGGAAATATAGATGTACAGAAACAATGGCATGCTAATTGTAATAAAAAAAAATATTTACAAATAGAATAGTCCCCAATTCTTGCTACTATTGCTCCAAGTTAAGCCCTACAGGTTTTTCGCCGGTCAGTTAATTTGAGGGGGAAGGCAGGGGTAACTCTTTCAGGCTGATCTTCACCTTTGCTACAACGAACAAATCATCAGAGTAATTAGATAACACATTGAGCATAATTCTCCAATAGGTTATTGCCAAGTCGATAACTTTGGTTCTTTAGAGTTCCGTATGACGTGTTAGATCCAAAGCAGCGCTCGAAAGTTGATACAAGTTGCAGGCAAGCAAACTCCAAATGCTACAACACGAGCAAATCAACAAATTGCTGCAGTAATGGACCCTATATGAACCCCAGCAACATCAAAACTGAACATTGGAAACGTTACATGCAATGAAGAACAGAACTATCATCAAATGATCAAATAAGCCACTGAAAGAGATAAATCCAACAACGCCACAATGATATGCGCAAATGGATGCAAACAAACAGGTTAGGAACAATTTCTGCTTTTCTTCCTTTTCTTATTTCAGTTATGCTTGCATGAACAATGGGCCCCAAATAAGAATAAAAGCGCACTTGAACCCTGACCAACTCTAACTAAAGGAATTCTACGTGCATCCTGAAAATCAAAACTGACAATTCAGGCATCGTTGGCATTTTGTACCCAACTAAAATGATGTTATGACTCATGTAGTTATGAATGAAAATTCTTATAAGGATGGAAAACTATGAAAACAGTTATATATATATATATATATGAATTCAGGTGTCATGGTAAAATGAGAAAACAGTGGCAAGATGAAATAGTGTGCCACAATCTTTACCTCCATAATGTTTCATATTTGAAAATGACATATAGTTTAACCTCTCCGGCCCTGAATATGAGGAAATGAAGAACCAGAGGACTGGGAAAGTGGCCTTTGGACAAATGAATGGTTTAAAAGTTGAGCAGCAGTAGGACGATTATTTGGATTAACTTGAAGGCACTGCAGGATAAAATCCCGCGCGTCGCTTGAAAGGGAGTCTGGAACAGGAGGTCGCTCACCTTTTCCAATTCTAAATAATGCCTGCATCTGTTTGTTTGAAGAAATTAATTAAAATTCAAAAGTCAAAACCAGCAGTAGTGTAATTTTTTACATTTAAGAGGTATATTAATGAAAAATATATATATAAGAATCATCAACCAACAATTCTACCCAATACAAAATGCGGAACACAAAAATTAACAAAACTTGCAAGTTAATTTACAAAAAAAAAAAATGGCAATAAAATTGATAATTTGGATCAAAAGTGGTAGCCTGAATTGTTTAATAATTATCAAACAGCAAAAGCAAAAAACTTTTGTGAAGGTAACTGCATGAAACAGACAACGAAAATGGTTTGTGGAATTAAAATCTGAAGTGCAATTGTGGGGACTGAAGAGCCCTCCCTGGATACAGGAAAAACAAAATTGTGTAACATGATCACCCTTACTATGCGATGCCAACGGCTAAAGACTAAAGAGAATTGCATATAAATAATGACACATACAAATTCCAAATTAGAGTATGGAAGTTGCCCTGTTAACATTTCCAGTACAGTGCATCCCAGACTCCACATATCAGCTGGAAGCCCATAACCTTGGTTTTTTCCTTTTACAACCTACATATTCCAGATTAAGAATCAAGAGACATGCTATCAAGAAATCAAAATATGAAACACCAAAAACCGAAGAATTTCAGAAAGTTTTAAGGTCACAAAAGCAAGGGGATGCTTCTTGCTATATATGAGAAGACAATGAATTCTTGAAATAAGAAACGTATAACCACTACACCACTATCAATAATTATATCCAACTGTTCATTACATTGATCAAGCCATTTGGCAAATACATGGGACAAAGCAAAAGAAAAAATTCCAACTCTCCATATTCTCTAATAGCCCTCCGAACAAAATGTAACACGATCTGATGTTGCTATGTAATTTATTTTCAGAGTTCTAATAATCTCTTTAGGTTCTAGGGTTTTAGACCAGAAACATGTTGAATGCATACAATTTTAACTATGACGATATAATTTCACTTAGCAAGTGTTCAGTTCAAACCTAAATGAGAGCTTGAAAAAGTTAAGAGTTGTGCACCTACTTATCAACGTAACCAACTACTGTTAAGGAAATAATTTAGAAGTTGGAACCATGTACACACTCAATTAACAAATTTGGAAGAACCATTAGTCAGTATTTCTGCTCAGAAGTAAAGATTGGAGGCAAACCTCAGGAGCCATCCAGTATGCTGTCCCCTTCATTGATTTAACATCATTCAATTTGGTTGCCTGAGAAAATTCATATAGTCATATCAGAAAATGGAAACGACAAGTAATTTAACATTATTCAGACATCTATAACTGATATCAAAACATTCAAGAAATAATAGAAACCCTGGATTGAGAAACAAACAAAAGAGAGTGGATACCTTCGCCAATCCAAAATCTGCAAGCTTGACTGATCCACTTGCATCCACCAATATATTTGCACATTTAATATCCCTTAAATTGGGGAAATATAATTAGTATATATAGTTTCATCCCAATTACATAACTACATATTAATGAAGAAAATGGGAGGTTAAACAAATCACGAGCTTCCACCCAAACAAAGAAGAAGAAAAACTATCCATTAAAATTTTCATAACTGAAAATTCCCACATGTAGTTACTATTCAATCTGATCGTAGTCTGACATAGATCAACTTTATTTTCCTTTTTAATCATTTGAAATTTGAAGCTCAAAGTAACTAACAGCTGAAGAAATTACTTTGCCATAAACTACATATTAGCATCAAAAGGTAGTGGTTTGGGGCATGAAAAGAATAACAATGACAATAATTAGATGAGATATATTTTTCCCCTTGTATTGTTCTGTCCACCTCAACTCTATTCTTCAGCCCAATAAGCAAAATGCAATTCAAACAATGAATATGAAGCAAAATTATTCCAAAAGGGAAAAAGTATGCAGCCAAATAACAAGAAATTTTTTTTATATATATATATATATATCGCAATTATGAGACAGTGCACAAAAGTGAAAGTTGCTTTGAAGCAAGGAAAGCAAGAACCATAGAACTCTTGCCAGCATTGTTCTAGAAAACTGAAAGAAACCATATGATTCAAGACAAATATTACCACAGAAAAGCGAAAGTCATACATACATAAAGGAAAGTTAAAATCGATTTAAAAATATTAAAATCTGGAGTCACCTGTGAACCACATTTCGATCATGAAGATACTTCAAACCATGCAGAATCTGCCTGGTATATGCAGATACTTGGGAATCTCGAAGCGTATACTTCTGATAGAGGCTTCTAAGGGAACCTTTGGTTACAAGCTCAAGAAAGATATACAGCTTTGATTCGTCCTGCATAAACATCAAGCCAAGTGTAAAGTACAAATCCCATTTTGAATAATGAGTTTACTCTGTTAGATGTAAAAATATAGAGAACAAAACCTGTCCCACAGATGAATATATTTCTAATGATAATAATGAGAGTATGCGACTAATATATTCCAAAATACTATAGTTCCTTATGTCTGAACTTTTACATTATTAGTTATTGTATTATTGTGGATTCTCTATCATACAAACAATAGAAGACCACATTTGATATAGCCTATCATGACATCATGTGCTGACTCTTAAGTACAATCATTCCACCTATAATGGAAACATAGTAAAAAGTTTGAGTGAAGAAGAAAAACTATCCATTAAAATTTTCATAACTGAAAATTCCCACATGTAGTTACTATTCAATCTGATCGTAGTCTGACATAGATCAACTTTATTTTCCTTTTTAATCATTTGAAATTTGAAGCTCAAAGTAACTAACAGCTGAAGAAATTACTTTGCCATAAACTACATATTAGCATCAAAAGGTAGTGGTTTGGGGCATGAAAAGAATAACAATGACAATAATTAGATGAGATATATTTTTCCCCTTGTATTGTTCTGTCCACCTCAACTCTATTCTTCAGCCCAATAAGCAAAATGCAATTCAAACAATGAATATGAAGCAAAATTATTCCAAAAGGGAAAAAGTATGCAGCCAAATAACAAGAAATTTTTTTTATATATATATATATATATCGCAATTATGAGACAGTGCACAAAAGTGAAAGTTGCTTTGAAGCAAGGAAAGCAAGAACCATAGAACTCTTGCCAGCATTGTTCTAGAAAACTGAAAGAAACCATATGATTCAAGACAAATATTACCACAGAAAAGCGAAAGTCATACATACATAAAGGAAAGTTAAAATCGATTTAAAAATATTAAAATCTGGAGTCACCTGTGAACCACATTTCGATCATGAAGATACTTCAAACCATGCAGAATCTGCCTGGTATATGCAGATACTTGGGAATCTCGAAGCGTATACTTCTGATAGAGGCTTCTAAGGGAACCTTTGGTTACAAGCTCAAGAAAGATATACAGCTTTGATTCGTCCTGCATAAACATCAAGCCAAGTGTAAAGTACAAATCCCATTTTGAATAATGAGTTTACTCTGTTAGATGTAAAAATATAGAGAACAAAACCTGTCCCACAGATGAATATATTTCTAATGATAATAATGAGAGTATGCGACTAATATATTCCAAAATACTATAGTTCCTTATGTCTGAACTTTTACATTATTAGTTATTGTATTATTGTGGATTCTCTATCATACAAACAATAGAAGACCACATTTGATATAGCCTATCATGACATCATGTGCTGACTCTTAAGTACAATCATTCCACCTATAATGGAAACATAGTAAAAAGTTTGAGTTTTTGAGATGTGGTAGCCTGGTAGGACCTGTTACCATTGACAAAATCTGTAATGGCAACTTTCAAATACATTCACTAATAGTAAACAAGAAGAAAATATCAAATTTAACGTAAAAGAAGAAAACAAGACAAGAAAACATAGACTCAACAATGGTAAACAACAAGAAAATAACAAAATGAACATAAAAAATAAAAGAAAATCAGGACAAGAAGAAAGCACCATTTCTGTGCCATAGTATTGAACAATATTCTCGTGCTCAAACTGACTCAAAAGTGCTATTTCCTGATAGAGAAGAAAAAAACAAATGTGAGAAAATAAACATAGTGGGAGAAGCATGAAGAAGAGTAACCTCTCAAATGATCTATAAGGTATTGCACAAGATAGCATAATATGTATGTTGTGAAACTTCTTTTTTATTTTCAATTGAAGAATGTTCATTATTGGAAAAGTATGAAGAAAAAAAGTGCAAGCCTGTCACCTGCTCCAGTTGATAGATACTTTGCTTTCCCTGATTCCCTTGAGCAAGTAGTGAAACTTCTTTTATGGCAAAAAAGAATCCATCGCTACAGCGATTTAGAAAGTATAAATAGCATGTTAGTATTTATCATTTGTATAACATAAAATAGTTGACTAAATCATCTTAAAGCTTGACTGCCAGGCTTCATACAGAAAAATTCCAAAGGAAGCAACAATTTAAAAGTAAGATGCTAAATTATAAATAGTCAATTGATATTTTTTTGGATTTGACAAAAATCTGGCAGTAAACAGCAATTACAGTATCCTTGCCCCTGCAAAATTTAGATCACTCACCACATTAATTTTTCCAGTTTTCTTTAACCAAGATTTTAAATATGTTCACATTGTTTATTCAACTAGAAGCCAACTGTATCACTGCATCAATTTGCCCTTCAATTAACGGGAAACACAAATGTAATGAAGCTCAAATGAAAACATTGGACACAGACACAAACCCCGCCCCACGTAGAACAAAGGGTCGCTAAAATCAAGCTCTTTTTCAGTAGATCGTTGACCAACCAAAATTTTGAATTTAGTTGTCCGCACAGAAAGATACATTTTATTGGGAATTCAAAACTAAAAATTGGAAGTTTATAAACATGACTGACACCTTGGGTGAGATGGAAATAATCCATTTTTGCTCGAGGAAATCTTCCATAAAAGGAAAGCAATGGAATTGGATGTTGGAGAGTTCAAAAATCAAAAGCACTTGTGCTCCTATGCTGGTCATTGTGGCCAAAAAGTGTAGGTGTTTTCAAAAGGAAAAGAAATTAAATACTCCTATTTGACAATACTATCCAATGTAATGCAAAATATTTTCCAACCCACCAAAGAAAAAAGTTTGGTTTCAGAACACAAACTAACAGTTTCTGAGTTGTTTATTTCAACAGATTCAAGGGGCTCATTACATAACCTATTGGACAAAATTTAGGTGCTGTCATACATAAGTGTAACAGTTCATCAATAAAAAAATAATTCGAGAAATAATTATTACTCGTGTTATAATGGGAACATCAAAAAGTATCTATAGAACAATACTTGCTCTTACTTATTCTACTCACTATAACCATTGCTCCATTAGCTACGCTTTATTTGGAAATATTTGAGAGAATAAATGTTAGTAATGTAAAAGCAAGTGTATTTTTCCCATCCTCTTTTTCACTAGACAGAAAATCTCCACCCGATGCATCAAAAACCATAACAACAGCAAAACCATTACCTAATTTATTTTCACAGGGAGAAAAAGGCACGCCGTGCCACTCTCATTTTAAAAAAGAAATTAAAAAAAAAAAAAAAAGTAGACAGAATAGTTATTTAAAAAGTGTGAGTGATTTGTAACATGTAATTTACAGGAAAAAGTAGTAACTTATAAAGGAATAGTAATAAAATGGGGTATAAGAAAAAAGCCTATTGCCTTTATCATAGTCAGTTATAGATATCCAAACCCACCCAACAATATTCTTGAACAAACCTACCCAATCATGAACTCCTAAACTACCAAAGCATTAACCTCACCTCCAATCCTATCCCACTCTCGTTCAAAATTCAAATTGGAATTTTCCCAACTTGCATCTAACATAATAGACTTTCAGCAGCAGTTTTAAGAAAATAGAATACGAGAATGGGTGATAGATGAACAGCATTGCACTTACTCAGAAATTCCTTCATAAACGGAACCAAACGAGCCACCCCCTAAGAACTCACCCTTCTGCCAGCTACCGGCAGTAATAATACGCTTGATCCTCGTGTTGGGAGAAATGTTCGTGGACTTAGGGTCCGTGGTGCTACTAGAAGAATCATCTTCATTGGAAGTGGAAAACAAACTCGACTCAGAAAGCCCCGCAACAATCTCCGCAATCCTCGCCCCATTATCCACATTCCCTTCCTCTTCTCTCTTCGGACTCACTCCACCAACCTCCCCTTCCTCCTTCACCGCGTCTCCTCTCTCCACTTCCCTCTCTTCGTCGGAATGGTTCACCGGATACCCTTCCCCTTGCGGCGCCAACTCCCTCAAAAGGTCCCACGTGGAACACGCGCTATCCACCGCCGTAACCTTCACCCCCGGCGGCGGCTTCAGCATCGGCGGCCGAACCCCCTTAATACCACTGCAGCACTCGCTAGAATCATCTACTTCCCTAACCCTAACCCTAACCTTATTATCTCCGCATTCTCCACTCGATTCACCTTCCTCTGCCGAATCTATTTTCCTCTCCTCTTTCTCCTCTTCGTCCTCCTGAATTTCGAGGTTGTCGAGCTTCAGCCTGGGGAGAATATCCGAAGAGGAACGAAACTTCATGGCCTCCCACGCCGCGGCGGGAATAGCGAAGTCCTCCGGGCCGGAGAGGCCCAAGCTGCGACAAATTCGATCGAACTCGCCCTCGACGCCTTCAATTCGGAAACTGGTGCGGTCGTAGAACTCCATGGAGCGCGTGTAGAGCGCGTCGTCGAGCGAGGAGGAAGACGATGCGGCGTCGTATTCGGAGTACTTGAGGGCGTTGCGGCGCTCGAGCCTGGGCTTGCGGCGCGGGTTCTTGCGGTCCATGGTGTTGGTTTGGTTGCTGTGGTCAAAAATCCGAGATAGGCGATTCATCTGAATAATCCATCTAAAACGGCGACGTCAATGGCTGCAACAGGTGGAGCGGGAAATGGAGAAAACGAAAGGGAGGTTCGTGATTTTATAGCGTTGGTTGGTTGGTTCTCTCTGGCGTTGTGTGAGAAAGGAAACGCATGAGACGAGGGAGAAAGTAAACGGAGCTGACCAGAGAGAAACGGGGGTGGAAGGAGGAAGAGAAAGTGAAGAAAGACTGCACACACACGCCACTGGTAAACGTCGTTGAACTGGAAACACAAAACGCGGTGCCACATCGACGACCAATGCATGACTCGGATTGCTCTCGTGGACTTTTTTCTTTTTACTTTCTCATTTCATTTCTTTCTTTCTTCTTTTAACTCGCTTCTTCTTCTTGGACCAGTTGCTAGCTACTGCAATACCTATTCAAACAAATATGAATATGGACATGGTAAGGATACTGGTTTTTATATATTATCTTTATTTTCTCAACACTAAATTATATTCAACTACTTGTATCAGTTTCGAGTTTAACAAGAATGCATGTGTTATTAGATTCAAACTCACCAATCATTTTTATAATTTATATGGACAAAAAAATAGTGTTATATTTTATCATTATTTTACTTTTATTTTATCGAAAATTTCTTCTTTTTTTTTCCTCTTTACGTCTTTGGAATTATTAGTGTAAAAAAATATTGTGCCTTTCAGTATTTTATTTAATAAATAGTGAATGGTAATAATTAGACGATTCAAATAGTTTTGAATAATTATAAAAGTAAAATGAGATTAAAAAATATTAAATTATTATTTTTTATTTATCTTATTTTTTATATTTATTTTACTTCTTTTTATGGAGGTAGTCCATTTAGTATCTCAAAATTGACAATTAATTGAATCTCAAAAATCTTTTCATAAATATGCAACGATTATTTATAGTACCAGAGATTACATAAAATTAATAAATAAATAAATAAATAAATAAATAACTTGAAGTATTCTACTTAAACATGCCATCGGGCTCGGAGGACAATAACTATTTAAAAGTTTTGGCAAAATTAGGTTCGAATTTTTGATACCATGTTTTAAGAGCTGGATGTCTCGCGTATTGAGCTTCACTAGTTGCTGTGTTAGCTAATGCGAGCAATGAAGTGACTTTCCTTTTTTTATCTTGTAATTTTTTTTTTTCATTCTTATAAAATTAAAATTAATACTTTTAGTTTTATTTATATGTAATCATTTTTTAATTATTAAAAAATTAAATAATCATTTTAAGTATTACTTATAATTATTACTAATATTATATTAATATTTAATATTTAAAAAAAATTATAAATCCTTAAAATAAATATTATTTATCTACTTTAAAATGATCATTAAAAATTAAAAATAATTAGTTTAAATTTTAAAGAATAAAAATAAAATAAAAATATTTTGCAGAATCAAAATCAATATTTAATTATTTTACGATAACAAAAAATAATGTTTATAAATTTTAAAAAGATAAAATAATAAAGAAAAAAATTTAAAAAGAGGAAAATCAAAATCATAAATTTTATTGAAACTAAAAAGATATTTAAAACTAAAAATAATTATTTATATTTATATTTAAGTGCAGAAAGAGTAGGTCTTGTTTGTTGTTGTCCCTAAGTTAAAAGTACATGTCGAGGATGGATTTTTAGCGTGGAAAAAGATGACATACCCCAACCGTGGGTGAGCTTTTATCACCATTGGTTTACTAATTTAATAAATGGATCGTTGTGATTTTTTTTTTTTTTGTTGTTGTTTACTTTCTCTTTTCTTTTTCAGTTTTATGCCTCCTCCTTCATCCACCCTTCCCCATCTCTTGCGATTTCTTTCCCTTCCAGTTCCGAATCTTACTCTATTCGTGACCCTTTCTTTGTTTTTTGACCATTTCATTTATACTCCTAAAACCATCTTCAAAAAAAAAAAAAAGTGTTATTTACCATCTGTTTGAATTCGAAATGGTAGACAATGACTGATTTTAAACATGTTTAAAGTATTTTTGTTTCGTTGTCTTCGTTAATTTCTTCGGTGGGTTGAGTGAAGTTTGTTGCTGCAAAAAGTTTCAAAGAAAAGAAAGATTTGAGTAGAGAGAGAATCAAAGAAAGAAGAAAAAAAATGGAGAAAATAAAAGCCAAAAAGCCATGCACATTAAATAAGCATACATGGAGTTACATAATTCTTGCTCTCCTTTTTCTTTTCTTTCTCATGGGTAATTACGATTTACAGACTTAGGTAGTGTTTGTTTCCGGGGAAGTACTATTTACGAGCAACGAAAGGCGAGGAAACTATGCGTTTGTTTCCCGTGATTTGGAATGAAGGAAAAGCGAAGAAAAGGGAGGAGAAGCACTGTTGCTCTCCTCGCACAAAACTGAAGAAAGGAGCTGAAAGACACGTAGGATTTGTGAAAACTCGAAAATGCCCCTCCCATACATGAGCCATACAGCAAAGGAACGAAACATAATCGATTATGCAAGCCAAATAATCGATTATGTGACTTGCATAATCGATTATGCTGAGAGCATAATCGATTATCCAAGCCATCATCAAGGCCGCGAAGTTTGAGTTTTGATCATTATAGAGCCTCGCCTCCGTCTTATTTCCCTTCGCCTACTCATTCAGAATCACTCTCATGAGTGTATAATGCTGGTTTGCGGCGTTTCCCCCCTACAAGTTTGCTTCCTCCTCTAACTGAGATGCCTTTGATCCAGAAGAAGAATACAAATTTTGATGATTATTATCCCTCTCCATCACCTTCAACTTATAGTTCCGGGTGCAAGCCACTTTTACGATCTGAAAGTGCTCCAGTCAGCATACCTACTGCTAAAGTTGCTAGTTCCTCGGGATACTCCAATAGATATAATTTGCCTCCATCACCTCCCCAAAAAGCTTCAAGGGGCACCGCTAAGATTGATACAAGTACAACCACATTGCATAATCGATTAGGGTGTTTTCGTTTTCATAATACATATTTTTTTATTATTTATTATTATAAATTATTATTATTATTTATTATAATTAGTATTATTATTATTTATTATAATTCTTATTATTTTTCTAATATTTATTATTATTCTTATCATTATTTATTATTTTTTTAATAAATTATACCTATTAATATAATTTTATTGTTATTATTATTATTTACAATAAATAATATTATACTCATTTTTAATTCAAAGATAAAAGTATAAATTATATATTCATCTACTAAAATTTTAATTTTTATCTCATTAACTTTAAAGCAAATATTTAAATTAAATTATTTTTAAATTAATATTTTATATTTATTTTTTAGTTAAAATTTATATATTTATATTTTAATTATAATAATTATAAAAAAATTTAACATAAGGGCAAAATAGTAATCTTACACAATTATCAATTAAAAAATTTATTTTTATCTATCACATCAATCAATTCACTCACAAACTTTCTCTACACTTTTCACTCACTTTCCCTTAATCCAAATAACCTCACTTTCCCTTTAAATCTCTCCTTTTCCACTCCCCCTTTTCCATCTTCAAATCCAAACAAAGCCTTAGAGACTAATTTATTGTGATTGTTTTTAATTTGATGAGTTTTCATACATAATATAGATCAAACATAAATTTTTCATTAAATAGATTGTTTCCATAACATGTAAGTGTAGAGTGTCTAATCAATACGTCAGATTTGTCGAATTACTCATATTTTTTTATATATAATATAGGTATAAATTTTCTTAATTTATATATAATATACATATAGATTTTCTTAACTAATTATCTCTTTTAATCTACCTTTTTATCTTTATTTCAAAATTGAATTTCAATAATTAATAATAATTTTATATCACAATTTAAATTATTCACTATGGTTTCAAGTATAATTAATATATTTAGGTATATTTATTTAGTAGGATTTTTAATTATAATATATTTTGTTTAAAAAATATTTATTGTTTATTGTGAATTTTAATTTTAATTATATAAAATAAAGATGTATTATAAGTTTAAATATTTGGTTTTCTAGGATAAAATACTAGTTTAAATAAATAATATCTGAGTGAAAAGAAATATTTCAAATTTAATATAAAAAAAAATTATTTGGAATTAAAAATATTTCAATGAAAACTAAATAAAACGTTTTATATAGACGATAAAAATAATAGTAAATATAATTACATAATATAATCTAATAATAATATTGTATCTATTTACTTTTAAAAAAAATTAATATTTATATATTAAACATAAATCTCTATCTTGTACAAGAGTGTTTTTAGAGTTTTTCTTCAACGAGAGTTTGAAGATATTTTTTTAACTTCTTATTTAATTTAATTTAATTTTTATTTATTATAATTATTTATGAATTAAATATTAATATTTTAAAATAAATTATTGCAACAACCCGTCGTGACCAGCATACTGCGAAATAACACAACACACTACTATAATATATACTAAAATAGTATAATAAGATTATTATAACACAAGTTGTTAAGCAAGCAACCAAAAAATCCAAATATATACAAAAAAATATGCTACTTTAAGGTAGCCTACAAAACAAAATATCCACTATAGATACCTCCAGTGGCCTCTAGCAACTATCTCTCAACATATCTACCTTGCTCTCATACATCGTATGATTATCGCAGTCCAAACCACATGGAAACATGCAAGGGTAAGCTTGTAAAAATAAACTATATATATTGGAGAGCAACTTACAACACTGGCAACTTAACATCACTATCATCATCAACTAGTTCAACATACAACACACAACACGTAAACAACACACATCTCAATAATACCTTCACAACACATACAACTCATCATCACAATATCAACTCATCAATACATGCATCGTCATGCATTTCAACTCGGAATTCTCCTAATAACATGAGCAGTCTAAGTGATTTTCATCCTATCAAACCAACCCAATCATTTTCACGCCCGTAGAGTCAGTTCGATCACAACAAAATAGGATACCAATCCCTCCTCTAGTCTTTCAGATCTCATCACTTACACTAAGAAAGTCCGATTCCACCATTAGGAGTAGTACAGTTAGGTATAAGCTTACCACGACCTTGGCATGCATTACCAAGTCATATATGGAATTCGCCCACTACTTATCCTCAAGGAACCATGCAACCTTTCCAGGTACTTGGTTAAGGGTTGTGGCCCTCGACCTCCTCTCTTACTCAACCACTAACTAAGGATTTGGAGGAGACTCAACACATCTCAAAACCTACTCCAAGAGACACACCTACTCAATGAGGATTTTATAAATAGTGGTCTACCCGAGCACCACTCCAAGATACCCTATGTGAGATCTTCAATTTTCAAAATAATTTTCTCTCCAATTTTTTTCGACAATCAATGGGTCTGATGTGCCTCGTTGAGTGATA